GGGGGGGGGGTGAGCGGGTGCGAAGAGGCGTGTGGCCGCGGAGCGGGCGGAAGATCGCAAATGGCGAGGAGAGATCGACAGGAGGCGCACCACCAGTGTCCGCGGCGACGATGGTCAGGCCGGACTTGGCCGAGCGCCACACATGGACATCACAATCCGGCACCTCGGTGGCGGTGACACTGTTGGAAACAATGTGCTGCTGGAGGAGGAAGTGCTCCAACTCAGGATTTCCTGAGGTGAAGCTGCAGACGAGCGGCGGCGCGCCAGTCATCCCTGCGGAGGGGGCGGAAGCAAGGGAGGGGGGGAGGGAGCTAGGCGAAAGGGGGGGGGGGAGGAGGGGGGGAGATCTGGCCACTGGCTGGGCGCGCGCTGGTCGGGTGGGGACCGACCCTTTCAGTCGGCCATGCACCCTCGCCCCCGCCAGCTGGCAGGCGCAACATCGGGAGGGCGTCCGGCCACCCACCTCCCTAGTCCTGTGTCCCGCCCTCCACTCTCCCTCCCCCCGGGGGAGGAAGGCGCCGCGCGGGGAATGATGCAAGATGCCGCCGGAGGCGAGGGAGAAAAGAGGCATCGAGAAGCCCCCCGGATGTGCACCTGCGCCAGACTCGTTTCCGTGGGTATATCCCCCCTCCCCGCACCCAGTCACGGAGCCGCACCGGGGGCAGCCCTGCCGCCGCAGCCAGAAAGCTCGCTGTGGCAAAATCGACCTGCGCAAAGAGCTGTTTGATGCAAGCCCTCGCCTCCCCCCGCCCCATCCGCCGGACTCGCGTTCGCGGCGCCATCGAGGGCAGGAAAAGTAGACAGCATTAGTCGCACCTTTATCACATGATGCCATCCCGTCGCACATTGCTTCTCGTGGGTTAAACTGGTATCCACGTGCTCTTGTGCCAGGTGTAACTCGCTTGGGATTGGGGCATTTTGGTAAGCAGAACCCCTTGACCCCGGAAAATGGCCTGCCCCCCCTCCCTCCCCGCCTCTCGCCCCGCCCCGCTGCCCCGCCTCAAGGCGCGGCAGAGGGCCCGTTACAGGCCGACCTTCGTTCGGGTGCGGGTCGCAGCAGCCAGGGGCAGCCCGGGCGCTGGGCGCCGCCTTCCGGGTACTGCCGCGGCCACGCCCTGGACGGGTGCCGCTCCGTCGCCCCCAAAAAAAAAATATTATGCGCTGCTCCGATTTAACATAACAGACACATATTGGGCCCGCCGCCGGTGGGGACTGGGGGGGGGGCACCGTGGGAGGACACCGGTCCTCTGGGAACCTCGCCATGGGAAAGCCTCAGCGCCGTCGGCGGGCGGGGGTCAGCCTCTCACGGAGTAACGGCCGGAGCGTGTCCAGGCATTCGGGCCGGCAGGCCTGCGAGTGGCGGGCGCGGTCAGACCCATGTGCCCAGGCGGCTATCAGCCCCCAGTGTCGGGAGATACTGCCCGGGTGATGACATCCCACTCGGCTGAGCGAGACCGTATGGCCAGCCGCCAGGGGGGCGGGTGGGGGGAGAGAACAGGACGGAGCTGAGCCCGCGGCGCACAGCACCCCGCCGCCGGCCCTCGCCCGGGGGCGTGGGTGTGTCGGGCGCGGGCATATATGCATTTTTTTACGTGACCCGCTCCCCGGGGGCACATCTGGGCTGAAAGGTATGCTCCGAGGCGCGGGGGGGGGGGGCAGGGGGGGGGATGTGAAGGGGATCGTCAGAACCCCTTGAAAGTGCGCAGTTGGATCATTGGGTCCCGCCCCGCCCCAGGGGTAGAATGCGCTTGGATGTCCTCGACGCGCCTCTCCCCTTCGGCGGTGGCTTATTCACCGCCACCGGTGCACGAGCCAGGCGTGCGGCATCTCATCCGGCAAGGTCCCGCCGCCGAGCCGCCCCCTCCCTCCTCCCCCGGCCGCCGTGCCCGTGTGGCCGACCGGGGGCGGCTCTTTATGGGGCGTTTGCGCGCCCCCCCC